AAAAAAAAAAAAAAAGTAACCAACTCAATGGCAATGTGTTGAAAAAAAAAAAAAAAAAAGTAACCAACTCAATGGCAATGTGTTGGTGTCAGGTAAAAAATAGACCTAAGATGAATGTGAAAAGATTTTAGCATTGACAAAATTCAAAAGTTGAACAGAACTGACAAATTTCAGAATATAAACAAGGACTAAACATTTTTAATTAAAAGAAACTTTACATTTTATAATCCATGCCCAAAGCTTTCTCAGTTTCTGGTTCACTTCTTTGTAATGAAAAACGAATTCTTCATATTTTGTCCTGATAATGCTTGGTCTTTGAAACCTGGGCCTTTAAAGAATGTTAAGTCATAGGATAGTAATACCATCTCAAATTTCAAAATTCAATAGCTAGAATTAAGAGAAGAAAATTCCATTTACTCTCTACTTAGTTTTTATATTAGAATTATTCATTTGAAACCACACTCTTCTAGAAGTTTATAAGAGTCACCAACTTTCTCCTTTACTTCCACCACTGAACTTTGTGAGGAGAAGCTGACGAGAAATTCAAGATGGTGCTGGTGGGTTAACAAATAAAATTCCCGCTCCTAGGGAGTTTCCCTTCAATAACAGGGTAAAAGACAACAAAAAATACGATAAATAAGTAAATTTTATCATTTATTAGAATGAGTCAGCAGGACAGGAAGCACCGGCAGTACTGAGGGTTTGCTATGTTAAATGGTATGGTCAGGACAGATCTCAACAAGAAGGTCATAAGCAAAGATTTTAAAGAAATGAGGGGTGAGCTGTGTGGATATCTGGGGAGATGGCTCCAAGCAAAGAAGAGCAGAACAAAGACCCCAAAGGGAAAACACACCTGTAATGTTTGAAGAAAAGCAAGGAGCGAAGTATGGCTGAAGTGGCGAAGAAGTGAGCAGGAGGAGATGAGCTCACAACGGTAACAGGGTACTCTACCACATCCGGTCGTGTACTGATTTTTAGGGTTTAATGCTATTATGAAAGAAATGAGCGTGTTCTAAACAGTGGCATGATTCAGCCTACACTGTTCACAGCGCATCTTCTTTGGCTGCCATGTTGCAAACCCAGAGGGTAATAGTGTGAGTAGATAGACCATGCCAGTAATTATTATAAAAATCCAGATGAAGAATGATAGTAGCTTACACCAGTGAAGGTGATGAAAAGTTTTGGATTCTGGAACTATTATGAAGATAATGTGCACAGGATTTCCTCATGAGGGATGTTTGAGAAAGAACTGAATCAAGAATTGCTCAAGTTTTGGGCGTAGGCAGCTGGGAGGATGAACTCAGATGAGAAAATATGGAGGAAATCAGGAAGTCATTTTGAGATGTTTGTCAGATATCCAAATAAATATGCTGGCCATGGATTAATCTGGTATTCAGGGAAAGGTCTAGGTTGGAGATATGAATTTGGGAATATATGACAAAATGCATTAAATGTATTTGTGAAAGTTAAGGTTTTGTGTCAACTTGACTGGGTCAGGGTGCTCAGTGATTTAGTAGCTGAGATGTAGTCCAGTTGAGATGTCCTTGAGGTGAGATCTAATATAATGTTATCACATCTATGTTAAGATCTGCTATGAGCAACCAATCAATTGAAAAGAAGTTTTCTTGGGGGGGTATGCCCTACTTCCAATATACTAGACACTTAAGGCAAAACTTGCTGGCTTTCTGGTGGGTCTAGATTCTGTATCTAGGTTCATCTGGATTTGAGCCAGTGGCCTACTCTATTGCTTGCCAATCCTGAGAGTTGTTAGCAGCTTGCCATCTTACCTGCCTGCCTGCTGTCTGACCTGTCAATCCTGGCTTATCTGATCCAAGGATTTGGGACTTGCCTACCTCTACAACTGGATGAGCATTTTCTTGACACACATGTGTCTTCATATACATACAGACAGACAGTGCCTCACTGGTTTTGTTTCTCTAGAGAACCCAGCCTAAGACAACACTGACATAAAAAGTGAGAGATTTCCCCCTAGAATTCATACTCCTTTTCTTCCCTTTACAGAACTACTGTCCATTTTAATTTAGCCAGAAGGAAGATGGTTGTGGAAGAGGTCTGGACCAAGTACACTGGGACTAAGGAGAAGGACAGCCTGTGGCTGGGAGAAGAGATAGCAGGGACTGGCAGGATCTGGAGAATTTTGACACTGAGGTGGCAGGAAATAGTATCTGAAATTGTAACAAGATACAATGAAAAGCTCTTTTAAAGTTTGTATTGTCAATTCTTGACAGAGAAACTCAAATACAAAGAGAATAAAATGTAGCTAAACCAAAGGGATGAGTCAGTGGCAGAGTTGAGGGAAAACCTCAGAACAAGTTCTCATACTCAAGTTTCTGTTCAGGAAATATTAAGTTACTTAGGATAAAGACCTCTGTGCTTTAGTTCTGAGTTTATATGACTCATTCAAGGTCATACACCAACTGAGTCATGTACTTTTTCTGAGTTCTTGTGGGAAAAGAGCTCTTGGACTGCTTGACCAGAGGAAGATTTCCTGCACTCAGCAGTATTAGGAGCCCAGCTTTGGTACTGCTGTTTTCCTCATCATCCAGAATCATCCATAAATGCTGGTTATTGAGCAGGCCCTGTGAGAAACACTTGTCTTCTAAGTCTTTATTGTCTAACACAGAAATTTCTTAACTGGTGTGAAGAGGGGGCACCTAGACCAAGATTTCAAGGTAGTTCCCAGGGGATTATGGCCTGGCCTCCTCCACTCTGCATCCTCTTTATTTCAGCTTCAAGTTGCAGGTTCTTCAAGGGAGGTTGCAGCGGCATAGCTCAGCAAAGGAGAAAGCTTTATGGTGAATACTGATTTTTTTGTTGGTAAGAGATGCTAAGGAATGCCAGAGACACCTGAGACCTCAAGAACATGGCCCAAGTCCTTTTAGGGACTGGGATGTAAAAAGTTTAAGAGCAACAGCTTCAGGAAGAGTCATCTATCTAACCCTGTTCTTCATTTGGAAGAGGTTCTTCTTTGTTCTCCTTGTCTGTGTAAGTTTTTTGTTCCTGGTTCCATGGGATGAGTCACACAGTGTGGTGCAGTGAAGAGACGAACGGTTTGCAGTTAGATGAAGAAAGGTCTGAATGCCAATGCCACCTCTTCGGCTGAAGCCACCTTGCAATTTGCTTATACTTCATATAGCATCTCCTCTTCTCACTACTAACATTATGGATCTAAAGTGCTGAGCATGGCTCCTGGCACATAATATGTGCTCTATCAAAGCTAGCTTCTCTCACCTTCTTTATCCTGCCCCTTCTAAGAGAATATCCATAACTCAAAACAATGACAGAGTTCACTGCTAGACAAGACGTGTACAAGTGCTTGATGTTTCATAAACAATTATATTAACATCAAACATGAACAAAGATTATGCCAGGGTTTTTGATGTCATAGACATTACACATCAAAAGAGGCGATCATATAAGAAGGAGTTCTACCTTGATTTGGGGAAGTTTCTTTCTTATGATGTGATGTCAAGAGCTCTCTGGGGCATGAGATAAGGGAGCTTGCTGATTTCAGACAGGAAGGCTATTTCAGATACAAACCGCAGAACAATGACAGATGGTTTGGAAGTTGAATGAGGATAATCAAACAGGGAACATTTTCCTCAGTAAAATAGGATGGGTGTGAAGAAAGAAAGTGACGTAATTTGGAAATGTGGAGTAAAAGGCCTTGGCATCTACCAAGAACTTGGATTTTCCTTTTATTAGATGAGATAGTAGTGAAGAGTTCAGAACCTGGATTTGAGTCCTGTTCTGTCCTGTGCTAACTGTGTGCTCCTGGGTAAACAGAGAACCCAGGTTTCAGTTTTACTCCAAAGCAATACGGGGACAGAACACATATCCAGCCCTCTTCAGGGCTGTCCTGGGGATCAGAACAAAGTTCTACGCGAGCAGCCCTTTACAATGTAAGTGTGTGTGAAGTGCTTTCCAGACTTCTCTCTGAGGGGAAACTTTTGCCACACAAAGCAAGAAATAGTGAAGGCCCTCAACCAGCTTCCATGATAAGACACTGAATCCAGCCTCAGACACCGGAGTTAAATTCCTATGGTGGAAGCCTGGACGTCTTTATGCTTCCTCATAGAACACACTGTAAAAACCAGTGTAATTCTCAGGGCTGTTCTCTGTACGAGAGCTTGAAATGACTGGCAAGAAATCAGCCCTCAATGAAGCTAACCACAAAAATTCTCAACAAAAGTTCTGAAGAGGTAATGAAAAATTAGAACAGAGAAAGCCTGTACTTCATAAAAATTTAAAAGTCAAATAGCAAGTCAGGTTATTAAGGAGAAGTGCCCTGATGGCACAGTGGTTAAGCACTCAACTGCTAACCAAAAGGTTGATGGTTTGAACCCATCCACCTCAGCTTCTGTAAAGACTTAGTCTTGGGAACCCATGGAGCAGTTCAGTTCTAGTCTGCTCTATAGGGTGGCTATCAGTTGGAATTGATTCCATGGCAATTTTTGGTTACTATGAAAGATCAAGGGAACAACATAGCTTTATAAAGAGAGAAAAGCAAAATGACAGAAACAGTCTGTCATTTCTAAAAATCAATAATCCCAACACTTAGAACTCTGTTAAGAATTCCCTCCTTTAAAAAATGAAGTGTAGATTACAGGTGAACTTGGTAAATAAGCCTTAACTGCTTTTCATTTTCATGTCAGTAGAATCTCAAAAATATCTTCTTGATCTGAACTGGAGCTCTACAAAGTGGGATCTAGGGACCGATGCTGCCAGTTTACGAACTGGCATCGAGAGTAGGAATTTAGAAACCTTTGTGGCAATCTGATAGTCATTTTTATGCCTGTTAAATCTAAAAACATACAAATAAACAGAAAAAGAGTCTTGTGTTTTGAAACCATTTTAGTCCATTCTATTTTGGTAGTAACTCATTTTTGTCTTTATATGTGAGAAGCCTTATTTTGGAAAATATGGATAGCATGTTATAAAGAAACTTGTGATGGAAGAAGTCACAAACAACCTATAATGTCAGCGAAAAGTGTCTCAAAATTCGTGTGAGTCCATTAGCCGTGGGAAGAGACCCCTGGGGGAGTATTTCATAGTCTGGGCTACAGAGACTCAGTGGGGAGGCCAGGGACAACAGCTACCACAGGGCCGGGATTTGTCAGGTGATTCGGGACATGTGCTTCCATACTTACTAGCAGATTCTATAAACTTCGGGTAGGCATCATACGTGATGAGTGGGATGGGCAGATCCCTAAAGTACAGCTTAAGTGCACCGGTGATGATGTTGATATCTTCATACATGGTCACGGAAATATCTGCTTTCTCACCATCTTTTAGGAAAGTTAACAGAAATAAAAATAAATAACTGGACCCAGAGCACTGTTTTTTGTTTTTTAATGACATCTTTGTGTATACATTCAGTTTTCAAATATTAGCAATGTTTCACTTTTTAAACACCAAATTTAGGATGCTTAATGATATATGTTAGTGTTAAATTTTCAGTGAAACAGCAAGCCATTTCTATTTCTAAAGTTACATGTTTTTCTGTGCTTTATTATTGGAAAGGGGGAGAGGGAGAAGAATGAGGTCGATAGAAATACTTCTCAGGAATTCCCAGGAGAATGGTGTAGATTTGCTTTAAAATTAAAAATAAATAAATAAATAAACATACAGAATGTGAAAAGTAGCAACAGAGGCAATCCCAACTGACAGGAGACAAGACCCCTACCACAAAAGGTTGCCTCGGTTTCAACCCAGTCTCCTGTACATAGCATTTCGATCTTTCCTGAGATTTAAGGGAGGGCAGGTAATGAAAAGTAAGTAAAACAAAACTTCAGAGTGTTGAAAGAACAAGAATACAGAAATTCTTAGATGGTGAGAACTTTTGAGGTGTTGACACTGGAGACTATCCAGCGAAGGGGGCCTTCCTTCAAAGAGGCTCCTCTGGCAGAACTGCACTCTACTGATAAGACAGAAATCTTCCTCTTCATCTACCACAGATTTCACTAGTGTCGACTCTGAGCTACAGCCAATACTAGAATTCTTTTGTTTAATTTGGCTTATAAAAGATTTCCATGGGTCAAAAAGCAGTCTCTCTTAAGATGCAAACACCTCCACTGATCAGAAACATTCAGGTGGGAACTGGATTAGATCCTCTCTCTTTCACAACCACACTACTTCAGTGGGGGACCCTGAGGGAAGCCAGAGGTGCTGGGGGCCTGCAGAACGTCAGGAGCACAAAGGAAAGTAGCAACATTTTTTCTTTAGGAAGGAGAAAGAGTAAGTTTCCTTCTCTTTCACCTTGAGGCTCCTGTTTTCCAGTACCAATTAGCTGTTTTTCTAGTAGAATCCAGATTTCACATATCCTGCTCCATAATTTTTGGTCTGGTAAATGAGGTCACTATTGTTGTGGTTCAGTTACATGATGGGTCACACCAGATCGGAAGACTGCTCTGAAAACTTCTGACTACTCAGAAAGCTCTCTCTATGGGGGATGTTGTGTTAATAACATTTCATTTTCCTTCACTCACTACTCTTCAAGTTCTAGGACCATTCGTCACCTCCCGAGGTGAACCTTTACATATCCCGACTCTTTGCCTCGCAACTGTATACATCTAATTTCTAGTCGCCTTTTAAGTTTAGCTTAAATATTTCTTCTGGTTCTCACCTCCCAGATTACATTAAGTTTTTCCAACTATTAACATTTTCCCTTATGGCATTTTTATTAAGCTAAGATACTGTGATTAGTATTTAATGTATTTAATGTGACCTTTCCATGATGAGTCCAAGGACCAAGTTAGGGCCGGTGGCTAACTGCTGCACTGAAGTAAAGACAACAGTGCCCAGCTCACAAGCAGCTGAATTAATGAATCAACAGAAAAGAAATTTATTTACAAAATCTAAGAGCCTAAAAGATTAATATTCTGGGACTTACCATGCATATCATAATTGCACTGATTCTTTAGAAATCTGCTGTTTAATTAGACCATATAGTCCCTTGTTGTTGTTGCTAAGTGTTGTATAGGGTTTCCGAGGAGCAGCTGGTGGATTTGAACTGCTGACCTTACAGTTAGCAGTCCAATGTTTATCCTACAGTACCATATGAAAACTCCAGAGATTCCTCAACAGTCATAAGATAATATAACACATTTTTGAGTTTGATGTCCAAGGCCAGTGGTTCAAGCTCATCAGCCACTCCTCATAAACCCTATACAGGGTTGGTATGGGTTGGAACCAACTCGATGGCACGTAACAACAACATAATATTCTAATAATGCTATGAATATTGCATATACTGTAACATCTTTGTTCCCTGTCTCATTACTTTTGGTTCCTAACTCCTACAATAGACAAGGGTTCTCTCAGGGCAAGGCTTAAGGACTTTTATGTGCTCTGACCTTTTTACCAGTCACAGAAATATTTGCTGCTCCACCAGAAGATAGGATTCCTGGTGTGATGCTGTAGGATATTAGCACTGGGCTGTGAACCACAAGGTCAGCGGTTCAAACCCACCATCGATCCTTAGAAACCTTATACAGGGTCGCTGAGAGGTGGAACTGACTCTATGACACTTAGCAACAGTAACAACCAGAAGATAAATGGAACAGACCTATAATGGCATCTGCTGACCTTGCGGTATTAAGTTCTCCAATCAGTGGCTAGTTCCTAAACTAGGGCACATTTTTCAAATTCTGCTTTTTTTTACCCTGATGCTTAAATTAAATGAACTAATTCCTGCATTCAACTGATCCACTGATTCTGTCTTTTTCTTATTTTTTTAAATAATTTTTTTTAAAAAGGAGTAACTTTAGGTTTACTGTCTCCCTCCTCTGCCACAATATTTTTCTAACTAATATCTTGCTTTCCTGTGTTTCATTTATTATGATTGAAACCAACACGCTGCTTTATACTTTCAGTGACAGCAAACACGAGGGGGCTTCAAAAACTTTGTGGAAAAATGTCATTTTCTTTTAATTCCCTTTTTTTCCTCACAAACTTTTTGAGGCCCTGCTTGTTGGTATAATTTATTTTCTTTCTAGGGCTCATGGAGGACTCCTGGTGTGGCACTGTAGGATCATCACTGGACTGAGAACTACAAAGTCAGCAGTTCAAAGCCACCAACTGCTCCTCAGAAACCCTACACAGGTCGCTATGAGTCGGAACCGAGGACGACACTTAACAAAACAACAGGGCCCATGGAAGCACTCAGGAAGCACTGGCTTATCTCTGAGAGTATGGCTGGTATTTGGAAATGGACATGCTCAGTTGTTACCTTCCAGAGAAAAAAGATCCTTTTAACATCTACTTGGGCGGGGATTCAAGATCCTTACTTGGCATTAGCGTATCATTACCACTCATTGCCGTCTTTTGCTCTTAGCAAATTCTTGGATTAGCCTAAATTTCTTCACATCAGGCTGGTAAAAGTCATCATTTAATTTAAATATTTAATTCCTTTCTGTGTCCTGGCTCTATTGCTTATAAGAAGTTTGTGAATGCGGAGAAGGAAGATGGAGTTAGAAATGCATACTTGCAAAGGAAAGTGGCTCTTTAGATCACCACACTTTTGTCATTATGACTTGGTTTTTACTTTCTGTATTTGAGGTGACAGCTCCCCTTTGGTATTACCTTATTCCATAATTAAAGGAAAACTGGAGAACCATGGAAACCGATCTTAATTTAAACACTAGTTAAAAAGGTTAATAAGAAGCCCCACAGCTCCTCTCCCCCACACTTGAGTTGGGTCTGGGTTCAGGCACAGAGAGGGTGATGTGGTGCAGAAGCGTTAAGTGCAGGCAGAGGCAGTGGGCTGACTTGAGCCAGAGAAACCAAAGATATGAAAGGGCTTCAAAAACTCCAATGCACTGCCTCATTTTCCTCATGGTTTTGTGTCAATTGAATTGCTCTTGATGTATTTTGGTGAATATGGACCGACCTTGGTTACTCCAATATTGACAATATCATTAAATTTCAGGCTTTTTTCTTATCCTAAAATTTGACAGTTCAATTCCTAGAGCTAAGTAAAAAATTATAGCAGATTATAAATTTAAGAACCTGAATCTTCCTGTTTGATGTAATAATCACCACTGGTTAAGAACAATCATGGGAAAAAACTCCACATAAAGTCCATAAGAAGCAGTACTATTTTACTAAAAAGTATTACTGTCTTAAGTGAATGAACATGCTGAAGAGCATACCTCTGTCAAAAGCCATCTTGACATCTTCAATGAGGTCACTAAATCCTGATACTCGGTAGAGTCCTTCAGAATTAAGACCTGGAAAGGAAACACGTGGGAGCTGTTTTGTTTGCTTGGAACTAGTATGCCTTTTCTTCACATTTTAACCTTTTTCCAGACTTTGAGCTGAGGAGGTAACGTAGCAGAAAGAATGAAAATGTATACCTGTTAAAAAACCTCACCACACTTCTCTCCTAAAAGAAAACTTTAACTCACACTTCTTTAACTCTAACTTACTGTCACCTGAACATTTACAATTTGGCTCGTCAGCTTGTCTAATTAGATCAAATATTCTAAGTCTTAAGGGAAATAATTCATCACCTCAATTACATAACATTTTATATAACAGAAGACAAAGATAAACTGTATTAATAGGCTTGTAGCAGTTTTTCCCAAGTAAGAAAGAATAATTAGAGTGTGGCTCTGGTTTTTGGCCTTGGGCAGTTTTTAATAGAACATGTACACCTTTGCTTTTAGACTTTAAAAACAAGAAAACTGAAATGGTTGGTCTTAATGTATCAACTTCAGCAGACTGAAAGCATTTTCTATACATGCATTTAAAAACAACTGGTTACATCAGAGTTTGAAATTAAGTGGTTTGATTACTCGTTGAATGAATTCATTTCCGAGCTTTCACAGTGCAATGACGCCCCCAGGAAGGAAGTGGCCTGCACTTGGCTCTGGAAGTGCTCACCTCTGGACTCGATTTCCCTGATGCACATGTCCACCACCATGGGCCGCTTCGTGATGCGCGCTTTCACCAGCGTTGTCAGGTCACAGCTGTACACCTTCTTGACGTGTTTCAAGTCAGGCTTGCAGTCATTTGGGACCATCTTGGAACATTGCTTATGAACATTCAGACCACAATCTAAACCAACAAAAGAAAGCAAGGAGAAAAACTCATGACTGTTTTCACATTCTGGAGTATTTCTTTTAGCAACAGACACTCCTGCTTGAATTAGGCTTAAAAGGGGAATTTGCCTTCAGCAGCTCCTTCGGAATGGAAACATCTTTCTTTTCTCTTGGAAAGCAAAGGATGTAAATCAGGAGACCAGAATTCTAGCTCAGGGCTCACCACTTAATAGCTGTATGATCAGAGGAGATTAGAGAAAAGACTGAGAACCAAAATTAATAACCGTTTAATTAAATGTCGACAAAATGTACCAGTATGTCAACCAGCCAACTGAAAACGAAATTCAATTATTTAAATTTACATAAATTTATATTTAATGTGAGAAATAGATGTACTTCAATATATTTGATGTGGGATTGGACCTCAAATAGTAAGAGTACCCAGGGCCCTCTTAAAATGGTGCTGCTCACACATCTAGTCACAATTCTCTGTATATGTTAATTAACACATAATTCATATGAAGAACCTGTATATATGCCAAGAGGGGACATCACGTGGTTTAAAACAGGAAAGGTGTGCGTCAGGGTTGTATCCTCTCACCATACTTATCGATGTATGATGAGCAAATAATCTCAGAAGCTGAACTATATGAATAAGAACATGGCATCAGGATTGGAGGACAGCTCATTAACAACCTGTAATATGCAGATGACACAACCTTACTTGGTAAAAGCAAGGAGGGTTTGAAACAGTTAAAGATGAAGATCAAATACTACAAACTTTAGTATGGATTACATCTCAACATTAAAAAAAAAAAAGAAACTGCTCATAACTTAAACAATAAGCAACATCTGATAAATACAGAAAATACTGACATCGGAAAAGATTTAGTTTTATTTGGATTTGTAATCAACTTCTATGGAAGCATCAGTCAAGAATTTAAATGATAAACCACACTGGTCAAATCCAATGCAAAAGACCTCTTTGAAGTGCTAAAAACAAAGATGTCACTTTGAGGACTAAAGTGCACCTAACTGAAGCCATGGTATTTTCAGTTGCCTCATAAGCATATGGAATCTGGACAACATATATAAGGAAGACTGAAGAACAGCTGATGCCTTTGAATGATGGTGCTGGCAGAGAACACTGAAGAGACTGAGGACTGCCAGAAGTACAGCCAGAGGGCTCCTTAGAGGAGGATGGTGAGATTTCATCACACATACTCTGGACAAGTTACCAGGTGGGACCAGTGTCTGGGCAATGACATTGTGTTTGGTAAAGTGGAGACAATGAGATGGAATGATACAGCGGCTGAAACAATGAGCTCAAACGTACCAGTGACTGTGAGGCTGGCACAGGACTGCGCAGTGTCCCATTCTGTTGTGCGGAGGGTTGCTACGAATCAAAACAAACTTGATGGCAACTAACAACATCATCTAGTAGCACAAAACAGCTATCATTGGTACAAGTGCTATTATCCTGGTATATCACTGTAGGATAAGCACTGGATGGTAGCTTTGAGTTAGAACTGACTCGATGGCACAGAGCAACAACAGTACTGTTATGGTCAATTTATGTTTACAGTGCCAGCACTATTCCAAGTGCTTTCTCACAAATTCTGTCACACAAATACGGTACTATCATTCTTCTCATTTTATAGCTGAGGAAACCAACTCAAGTCTCAAGCAATTTATGCATTCAGTATATAAGAGGAGCTGAGATTCTAGCCTATGATTCGCAGTTACGATTCTAGTGTCCCTAATTTTAATAAACCCATCATATCACCTTTACTGAAATCAGAGTCCTGGTGTGGCGCCGTAGGCTATCCACTTGACCTCACCTCAAGGTCGGTGTGAGCCACAAGATCGGCAGTTTAAACTCACCAGCCGCTCCTTGGAAACCTTACACAGGGTCACGATGAGTAAGAACCGACCTGACGGCAGTTAACAACAAATTAAAATGTTAATGGATTATAAACATGTAACGTGCAAGAATCCATTTTCTAGGTCACATTGCAACAGAAACTTTTCAACAAGAAGAGTACAATTACGTTTGAGAAGGGATAGAGAGAATACAAAGACGTTGCAACATTACACTGAGGTGTGATAAACCAGAGCTGAATACTTTGATTAAAGTAAGTCACATCACCCTTCTATTTTCAAAAAACACAGCACATTTGTTTTTATGTTCATGAAAGCAAGATGGTGACCAAAGTTTGCTTATAAAATCAAAGTTAGCTTACAAACTTTACAGTCCGGTCCTAATGAAACCAATTTAAAAATCATACAATCTCATGACTGCTGTATGCGATCCTTGGACGTCTTAGTTTTGTTTGCCTTTAGGGCCAGAGATTCTTATGAGAAGTTACAAGAATTAAATATAACAATGCATTCAAGCTGCTTTACATACGGTAAATGCAAGACAAATGCTGACAATCCTAATTATTATGACATTGGGTAAAACTTATGAGTACTAGCTGTAATCAAGTTACATATGTTGTTATTATGTGCTGTGGAGTCAGTTCTGATTCATAGTGACCCTGTATAGGGTTTCCAAGGAGCGGATGGTGGGTTTGAACTGCCAACCTGTGGTTAGCAGTCCAGAGCTTATCCTACAGCACCACAACAGTACTCCAGTAACATATGGTAATAGTAATGCACAAAGACCAGGACAATTAGGTTAGAGAGTACAAATGGAATTGTTCTTTAGTTAATTATGTACCAGGATCAACTTGAAATGAGAGTTGTGGCGGCTCTAAGGGAGGAATTCCTATGTACTGAGCGGCTCCTCAAGTTAAGTGTGGAGGGAAACTCAGGCCCAACAACTACTCTGGGTCTTTGCACACCTGTAAGTGAAGAGCCAGTGCTAACAGGACCCAAGCATTATCACCACTAAAGAACAAGCTGCTTCTCTGTATACTGAGTTCCTTTTAACATCTATATTGTTGTTGTTGTCAAGTGCCTCTGTGTTGGTTCTGACTCACAGCGACCTGTATAGGGTTTCCAAGGCTTTAGATCTTTGTGGGAGCAGAAAGCCTCATCCTTCTTCCTCAAAGCGGCTGGTGGGCTCAAACCATGGACCTTGTGGTTCACAGTCCAGCGCTTATGTAGGGAGCCACCGTGTTCCCATATCTGTGTTTGATAATTTACAAAATATTGGATTCAATTATAAGACAGAGTAATGGTAAAATGTCCACTTGAAAGGTGGTTTTCCCTGAATATTTCAATGTGTTCGATAACTTCAGTAACTTGCAGTTAGATCTCAAATCTATTAGCTGTGTGATCTTGAGTGAGTTACTTCTTGTGCCTCAGTTATATAAAATGGTGGTAATAATAGAGTGCTGATGTATGAGGGTCACATAAGACTAACGTGTGAAGTACTCAGGAAAATCCTTTAAACATAAACCCACTGCTGCAGAGTCAATTGCAACTCATACTGACCCTATATGTAGGACACAGCAGAAGTGTCCCATAGGGTTTCGGAGGCTGTAAATCTTTACAGAAGCCGACTGCCTCATCTTTCAATGCTTAACCCACTGTGCTACTTTATCTCCACATGTAGTAAATTCTAATGATTTACCATGTCATTGTTAGTATTTAAACATTTTGAGAAGAAGCCTTTCCTATGTAGTACCCCAAAGCTTATCACATACAGTATTGTCATGCTATGCATTTCTTTTCTCCTTTTTTTTTGGAGACAATTGATTTTTTTCATATTGTCTTATATGTGTCTGAGGCTCAGGTCACTTTCAAAACTCGATTTTCTCTGTTGTTCAGATTAGATCATTTCTATTGATTTATCTAATGAGCTCCGCCAGTGAGAGTATAGTTACTACTTTTCAGTTCTAAAATTTCTATTGGTTCTTTTTTATAGCTTTATTTTTTTTAACTTTCTTGTCCCCCTGCCCCGCACTTGTTTAAAGAGTGTTCCTCATTGCTAGTTGGAGTACTTTTATAACAGCTGTTCTCCTTGTCTGATGAGTCCAGCATCTGTGTCATCTTGATGTTGGCATATGTTGACTGTCTTTTTTTTTTTACTCAAGTTGAGATTTTACTGGTTCCTTGGATGGTGAGTCATTTTGGACTGTATCTTGGAGGTTTTGAGTGTTGTAAAGACTTTGGTTCCTATTTAAATCCTCAACTTTAGTAGGTAGTCAACCTGTTTAGGTTTAGGGTAGATATCCTGGCTTACTTTGTAGACTGTAGTTAAAATGTCACCTTAGTTTACAAAAGCCTTTGCAAAGCTATTTTGCCTGGCCCGCTTGTGTTACCCAGTGACAGAGTGGTACCCCACGCTCTCTGCAGTGCTGGGTGGGGAGGGAGGAGTGGGATGGCAGGCAGGGCATCCCACAGACTCGATCGAGAGGAGGGTTGTGGTGCTTGTTCCTGCAGGGAAGGAGTGGAATTGAGACTTCCGGTCAAGGTCTCAGCAGTCTCACCACTGGAGGTCTGGGATAAAGACAAGACTGGGGAGCACTGCTTTTACTATAGTGAGGATGGAAGACAGGGTTTCATCCACACGCTCAGCCATGGAGGCCTGGCACTTTCGTATTGCAAAGTGGGGATGGAAGACAGGACTCTTCACAGTCAGATAGGGCTCGCTCTGCAGACTGCTGCTGCACTACCCACTGAGGAAGGAGGAGAGGTGTTTGCCTAGAGGATGGTTGTTGTTGTTGCTAAGTGCCATCGAGTCGGTTCCGACCCATAGCGACCCTATACAGGGTTTCCGAGGGTGTAAATCTTTACGGGAGTAGAAAGCCTCATCTTTCTCCCGCGGAGCAGCTAGTAGTTTCGAACCGCTGACCTTAAGGTTCGCAGCCCGATTTGTAACCACTACGCTATAGGTCTAGCTAAAAGGTTTCTGTTTTGCCAGGCTAATGTCTTCCTAGTCTTCTGACTTAGAAAAGCGGGCATTTCTTGGGCTTATTCTTTGATTGTGCCTGCTGATAGTTATGGGTTCTGAGTTTTCTTCAGTACCCAACCTGGGATATATGCAGGAGGCCAAAAACATTAACA